AGTTGGAAAAAAATTCAAACAGCCCTCAAGAGCCGACTCAGAAAACTTCTGAATGTCCAGTTGACTCAGACCTCACTGATTTTGGATCAGAAGGACCCAGCGTGTCCAGTAATGCGCTCGATGGATCCATCGCTTTCTTGGGAAGAAAATGGTATAGAATTTGAGTAGTTTTGAGCGATTCTGTTCCTAAAAATAAACTTTTGACTATTTTTTGCCGGTATTTTGAGCCGCATAGCTGTCAGTCCAGGAATTTCCCGATTTATTAATCAGTCAATTAATCGAACGTTTTGTTTATCTATCTGTGATTCCGTGTGAGCAAATTTTTAACTCGTTTTTGCACCTTGATCTTTGGACGCTTGTTTCTGAGAAACTGTTTGAGACACCGGAACGAGGCCATCGCAGATCGATAATTGAAGGATTAGTTTATGTGTGGTGTGAATGTCGTTCCATTTGAGACAATTTTAATAGTTTGGTGGCTCTTTTGCTGTTTTGTTTTTGCATTATGATCTTTCAAGGCTTGTTTCTGAGAAATCATTTCAGGCACCTAAACGAGAACAGTACTGATGGATAAAGGAAGGGGCAGTTTACTGGTGGTGTGAATGTAATTTCGTTTAAGCGACTGATTTATTTCCAATAAATTTGCGGAGTTTGGTGGTTTTTTGCGCGGTCTTTGTTTTTGCACCATGCTTTCTAAGAAACACTTTTAGACATCCGTGGTACACACGTAGTATGGAAGGTTTTTCTCATTGGCAACTCGTTTAATGACAGTAACTAATGTTTCTAAACACATTTCAAACGTAACACCTCCAAATACCGGAACAAGAGGGCCTAATTACCGGCCTCTGAAAGATCCGGCGGTACTAAATCTTGCCCGCAAGACGGCCCCGTCCACAAAGCGGCTATCTGGGCTGGGGATCGGAAGTTTTCACACTTTGCCGCTCATGTGTACGAAACTGGACGACAAAACATACGCACCGTATGTAAATCGGATCGTTCCATCAGCAGATAAGTAAACCATCGAAGAAGCCGTTTTATCGCTTTATTGCCGCTCGCCCGTTAAATACCTTTTATGTGTTAATTTTTATTTATTTCCTAGTTGATTCGGGGCAGAAAGTGTGACCTGAACAGAGCGGCGGATAAACCAGGCCATCGCACAGCGTGGATTTCCTTCTTTGCGCTCGCATCATTCACGTCTTTTTCGGGCCTATTTCGATAGAGCTCATAAATACTGATTAGGGCTGATCGATCGCCGTCTTATTCATCGGTAAATTGTTGGCGAATTACCCTTTTTGTTTCAATTCGAATTTTCGGCAATCATTAACGCTCATTGACGTCAGCCAGTTCCACAAGGTTAATTAGCCCAGTTTAGGCTCCATTTTGATATACAGGGTGGTCGTTAACACTTGTCTTAAAGAGCTGATGGTGTTGGAGATTGTGAAGAATTGCAAATGATGATCTGTGGGGGACATTGTATGGTTTAGCATAAAGAGCCACACACAGACTGTCCGAATAGAGCGAGGAGCCATTTTGGATCGGTTCGGGAAAACAAACAGCCGTATATCAATACCCTCGGTAAATTACGCATCAGCATCGGCTGGGAAAAAGAAGTTGGCATAACGGCTATATGCATGCACCGCCAATATATCTGGTTGATTTGAATATCGGGACTGAATATTTTGAATTAATTAGCGATTCGAAATTATTAGTTGGCGGCCGTTGTGTTCGAATAGCCAGGCTCTTACAATGATGCATATGTAGCTGCGCTGCATAGTTTCGGTATCGGGCCGAAATCATTTGGTCGATTCGATCGTTTCGACAGAGCGCTGGATAAGCGGTTCTTCGGACGATCAACTGGACAACACAACAAATGTCCACTTTGTGTCCAGCAACGGCGAATCGGACGAAAGAAAAACGAGGAGAAACGGCCGCGTGTGCCCGTTGCAAAACGTTAATTCGCAATTCCGTCGTCGTCCGGCATTTTATTCGTTTTGAGGGCGATTTATTCCGTTTCTTTGAGTGCGCTGAGTGAATTAAGTCCCGACCCGAGCGTATGTCCAGCGGTACACGACATTACTCCCAGATGGAAATATGCAATTTGAGAGTTTTGCCCTTTTGATTGAAGAAACGCAAACTCGCTCTATGTCGACCAGTCGCTTAATCGGCACTTGATTGAATTAAACGACATTTTACTCGGTAATATTTGTTTTTTACTGGCTTTACCAGGGTTTGTTGGTCGCTGCTTTGAGCTGAACAGTCATACGAAGCTCTTCATCAGTGTCTTCTTTACCTGTAAGTGTACTTTTCGAATGACGACGTTAAATAGATGAACGTTGTTCATATACAGGTAGAAAGTTTCAAGAATTTTTCGAAATTAGTTCGTTTTTACCGGCGTTTTTTCAGGAGTGTCGATCAATGATTAAGTGGACTGTATTTTTGTATTATTTTCTTCTTCGTGCGCGTCCCTATCTGAGATGGCACTCCCAACACCGACTTACGTATATGAATGCACCCAACCGACGAATTAAAACCCGATTGTCGGCAAAATTAATA